GAAATTTTTTCTGTTAAACAGTAATAGGAGAATTAACATTATGATTGCTTCTTTATAGTATTACGGTTCAGGTAAATGGAGACTCTTAGTCTGTGAATGTAGTCTAATGGAAGGAACATTCCGATTTTAAACTTCTACCGTTTTCTAGTGTAAAATATTAGGTAAAATATCATGTTTGTCCGCAGTCTACTGCAGTCAAAGAGAGCAAAAATATAACGATTAGCAAAAAGAAAAATATATCATCAATTAATTTTTCATTTTCAAGGAATTTATTTTGCTCGTAAATATATATAAATGTACTTATTTTTCGTAAATATATATAAATGTACTTATTTTTCATCTGTAGCAATATTTAGTATAAGTTCTTATCTGAACAGTTGTCAAGCATTTTACATGTTTTCGCTTTTTATCCAGGATTAAAACAATAAAAAAGTTCATTTAATGAAACTACTCTCAGACTCGAAAAAGGCATCAATTTATCTCTGGCAGCAACTGCATACTGGAATCACGTAGTTCTTGTTTATGATAGACAATGATGTTTATGATTTTCACAATGGTAGACTTTAACGAGTACTCTATTTGTGGAACTGACGACGACTCTGATGTAAGTAGTCTTCTGGATTAAACTCAGAATTATTGGTGGCTGTAATGATGGTGAAAATCGTCGGTCAACAATATTTGCCTATTTGTAGGCCATGTGGGCTCGATCGGGGTCCTATCTGAACATATACGGCGACATCTTCGCACCTATGCTTGACCACTGTATCAGCTTCTCGATGTAGGAGGTTACATTGATCTTGTAAAACTTTTAATGCCAAGTTAGATGAATGCGTAGTTTTACATATGTATGCATGGTACGGTAACACTAACATAAATAACAATCGTTTAGAAAACCAAAGGACAATATAGTTTCCATATGCACTTCCCCTGACCATCAACCTAGCATCATCAATCAAATCCAACTCTCCATCAGCCGCAGATTATTCGACAACTCGTTAAATAATAATTTTTCTTTTAGCGATGTCAAGAACGAGTATTAAATAGAGCTAAAAGACAGTATTTCGAGAGAACAAGAAAATTCAACAGAAATAGAAACACCATATGCTAGATTCCCTTATACAGAAAATTAAAACAAATACAAATAAAAAATAGTTATCAAGGACATCGACAAAAACTTGGCCAAATCAAATAAATTGCACGTAATATTCAAATTCAGCTCTATCTGCACTGAAAACATGCTACAAAGATTTTGGGACACAGCACATATTTTGAGGGAAATGTTGTCTGTCTGATGTACTTGGTGCGACTTGACAGATTTTGACCTAATGTAACCGGCGTATTCAAAAACTTACATTTTGAGATAAAGCAAATGATAATAATAAAAGGCTGAATAAACAAAACACAGAACATCGCAGAGATATTCCACATCTCATTTGAGCGTTGTTGTAAGGCATTTGAGAACATGGGGATAATAACAAGTAGTATTAGTATCAACAAATACTGAAGCAGATGTTAAACCCACGAGCGCGTTATCACTTTATTATATTCTCTCGGAATTATTTATCACTGAAACTAAACAGTGTCTCCGATATGTTTTTCCATTTTTCTTTGTGATCAAAACCCAATAACGCATTATGTATTAAGTATTGGCAGGACGTAACGCACGTGGTAACAAAATTATAAGTTTGATTCTAATAAATCTATTGTACAAACATGTTATCTTACAAGTATATACGTAATAAATATACAGTTTCTAAAATGTATATTTATGTTTATATATATTGTTACGAACCCCGATCAAGATTTATTATAAAAAAATATACCATTGCTTATATTTTAGAAGCATTCTAAAACGAAGAGCCCAGTACTTGCAGAAAATGTAAAGATAGGAAACCTAAGGAAGGAAGGTAGACTTCGTGGCGGCAAGGATTGACCAGTGTCCCCTTTCCTTCTCTTTTGGTCAAGGTGTTACGCGGATAGGTTGGGATAGGTTGAAACATTTTAAACTAAACTTTCTCTGACCCTGAAGATGAGAGAGGGAGTCGATGACCCCATTCCACCCATAATGAGAAAAAGTTAGTATTTTGAAAATTGACCACGTGATAAGAAGAAAACGGAAATATAGTGAAACGGAAAAGTTCGTCTTCGACCGAGCCTGCGGGCTGGCCGGACGTTTGGCAAATGTCTTAGTATACGGACTGAAAAGATGTGTTTGCAAAATTGTGAGGAGAATTGGTGACCCAGTCGAATGGATGGACCCGTTTCGACTACGTAGGCGAAACGCCGCTATATCGAAGAGAAAGACAGCAGTTTCAACTGTCACCAAGCCCTTAAACAAAGAGAGAGGGAAGAGAAAGAAAGAAAGAAAGAACAGACCATCTCGAGCGAGTGTGCTGTCATACCAAGACAAAAGAGAGAGAGAACGTATTTTCTGCTTCATCATCAGCCGATCCCCTAGACGACGAAAAGAAAGAGGAAGAGAATACCTCAAAAAGTGACCCTGATAAAAAGAAATAGAAAACGAAAAAGGAAAAGATAAGACTAAGAGACATTGTTAGTGAAAAAGGACTTTATTATTTTGAGTTAAGTTTATTTTTCTTGTACCCCGTTTTGTTTAAATGTACCACTTTTTCGTATTTGTACTTTCATGCAAATTTAGCATGAAATCTTTTATTATATGTTTCTTTCCACATTGTCTTAAAGTGTTGATGTTTTGTGAATTCGTGCAGTTATAGCACATGTTCTATAAATTCGTGGCAGTATGGCACAAGGCCATACGCTGATTTTTATTTTACCTTTCTTAAAGGACGCTCTCCTCCGACTATTTTGTCCACAATGTTTAAATGTTTAGTCTTGACATATCGTCATTTTTGTTTTGGCCGTTTTTTGGGTTTTTTTTTTTACCTTTTCCACGATTCCATGTTTGTTAATAAATTTATATTTCCTGTATCCATTGTTGTTTGACACCTATTGTGTTTGTTCCTTAATCGATTCCGCTCGGCCGTGTCTGATCAATCGGAAAGAGACCCTTGGGAAAGAAATAATATTTTACAAAAAAAATGTAAAATGTTAAAAAAACAAAATAACACTAATTACGATCCTCCTCTGCCTTGGCTATCGATAAGGTTGGAGAAAGAAAGGAAGGAGGTGAGAGGCTTCGTAAAAATATATATTTATATTTTCATTATTTGACACATTTATTTTTCATAGTGTTGTTTTAAATTCTACGACTGTAAATAAGCAACATGTCTCGGAAATCAGGAAGAAGCCTCCGACGAGATTCGAATTTACATGCCATATATATATATATATATATATATATATATATATATATATATATATATATATATATATATATATATATATATATATATATATATATATATATATATATATATATATAATTTATCTAACCACAGAGACAAACCAGCTGCTTTATGTTAAATCTATTTATGTAGCTATATGGGTTTCTTCTTCGAGCAGATTTGTCTTAGTAATGGAATCGATAAAAACCAACAATGTCAGACAAACTTTCAAGAATATATTAGGCAGGTTCAAATCAACTTTGAGTTTATTCCTCGTTTCTGGCCAATTTTACATTCTTAAAGGCTATAGAATTAAACTATCGGAAAAATTGCGATAAAAATGTCAATATGGAGAAAGATAAATAAGGAATTAAATCATTGTTTCATTTATTATCAAATAATGTAATGTTAATGTTAAACAGCATATAACTACCAACGACTACTTCTACGTGTAAACAAACAATATAGTTCATATATATATATATATATATATATATATATATATATATATATATATATATATATATATATATATATTATATGAAAATCAACGACAATATTCGCATTAATTTTGATTTCTTTTAAATAGAATATCTCTTAGGTAACGGTGATTTTCCACAATCTCTTAGGGTAACGGTGATTTTCGTTTTAATTATTATAAGTAAAATGTCATCGAAAAAGACAGTGGAATGTTTTCTCTTGCGCTTCTTACGGTTTAAGAATTCAGAATGTTCTAGTCTACGCTGATCTTTAATCACTACCTGGGGGTGTAGTAGGATTGATACTATTCCCTGTACCAATTGTGCGAAAGTGAAGACAACATCATTGACTAGAACTCGGATCCTCGATTTCCTCTTTCTGCCATGATGGCTAACACACAAAATTCACAATTGTATCTCGACATAATTCTTTACTAGTATAATGAATGTTGGCATTCAGATATACACAGGAATTGTCAAAGAGAAAGTAAAAAGCTATAACGAAATCATTCGAATGGTTTAAAGACATTGCTCTCTATGCCCCCCACACACAGACACACACAAATATATATATATATGATCTGTTTATATTATATATTGATAACAGCGGTGTGGCAATTAATTAGATGAAATTGGGCGCACCTGTGCTGACCGTCGTCTTTATCAATAATTGCAGTTGGAAATAGACAAGACGTGACTAAACTCACCACCTGATAATTGTGATTATATTGAGCAAAAAATACATTTTTATATGAAATGAAGAAATATCTACGATTTGTTTTAGTATTTAATACTTTCCATTCTTAAAAAGTTCGTTTATAGAAAATAAACGAACCAAGAATTGAAAATTAAAAATTATTTCTTGTTTTAAGTTTTAATATGCTAAACGGATGAATTCAATAAATATATGAAGTCTTTTTCTGAGAATTTTATATTTTGATAAATATTATTTAAATGTTTATCACATTAATTCCTTATAATTATTCATACGAGAACTGGTTACAAAAAATAGTGAACAAATTATTATTATTTAACGTTTTTTTTTAGTTATACTAGTTCCATAACGCTAACTTTAAAATAAAGTAGATATTTTATTAACGAAATACAGAGTCAATTGTTTTTTTGTTTTTTTGCCTTTTAATAATCGTAACATAATCGATCACGAATCCGTCAGTAACTTGTGGCTGCAGAGTCGATGTATTTTCGAAGAATGTATGTCTACTTTCATAGTTATGCCAATGGTAGCTATGGGCTGATGGATTAATATAGTACATTGCTTTTATGTATTATGTAGAACTTTTTTCTTTCTTTTGTAAAATATTTTTGAATATAGTTTATATAGATTTTTTAGGAATATACTAACAATAAAACTTGCTTGATGCCAACAGTGATAATCGAATCCATTATGTGCCAGCCATCAATCAATTTAATAAGCACTCACTTTTCCATTAGGGTATTTTTATTTTTATTTGACCTTCTTTTCCAAAGATCTGTTTGTATATTCATGTATTCATATACACTGATATTTGCATGTGTATGCATGTGTCTATGAATGAATTCCTATAGAAACGGAAAAGCAGACAAGATGACAATGATAAATATTCGTAATCTCTATTTAAGTAGGCTTTACTTTAGAAAGTGTGTGTCAAGTCATTCTCGTTGTACGTATTTCGTTGTGTCTCAAGTAAAAAGCATGCATTTTCTGTATATCAGTGTGATGATTTCACTTTGATTTTCAGCTAACATTCAAGTACTGTCTAATTGAATTCATTTGTTGGTTAATATTAGACATTTTAAAAGAAAGTAATATCTTTCAATTCCTTTTCACGGACTAAGATACTTTTTCATTTTTTGACCTCACTTAACAACGTATTTTGTGCTAAGCTGGGTGGAAAATCGATCTTAACTTTATCAGTGTCTCTCGAAACTTGATAGCTTAGAAGTGGTTCAATTTCTTTTAATAAATCCGTTGCAATCGATGGAACTGGAAAAGTGACCTATGTTTACGACTCTCTGCGATGTCACTCACTCAGTATCTAGCCATTCATAGTTTGTTTTTTCGTTACTAAAAGCTTACAATCCGATTTCCGCTAAAAGTGCAAATATCACTAATATGAAAGTCCTAAACATTTAAAGACCCCAAACTTAAAGTAACAACATTTTGTCAATAATGTTGACCGAAAGTGAGGAAGTTTATAGCATTTAAATTTTTAGCTTATTAGATTTCTTACGTCTACTTAGGTTTCATTTTGTGAACGCCATTGTGTGGATGCGAAAATAATATCATTTTCTTATCTCAATTCAAGAATGCATAAATTTGGCTTTAATAAAAGGCTTACATTTAAAAAGGATACTTTCTGTCTATATTGTAGATTTTGTTTTAAATTTTTAGTAAGTACATGTTTTGTGTGTTGTTTTTTTTTAATCGTCATCACCCCAAGCAAGGCAGTAAGGCCACTAAGACACAAGGTGTGGAAGGATTAGTAACATAAACAATAATAATGAGCGGGAAGAGAAAAGGATAATCAGGAGTGAATAGCAATTCACATTGCATTTCACTTTTCAACATGGAATCAGAAGGGACTTCCAGAAGCGAAAAGTGCGAGAAAAGAAACTGTTAGCAAAGAATTTACGGTTACATCTAGCCTGCTGAACTGCAAATTGAAGAGAGCTCGACGCCATTCTAGTACTCCGCTTAAATTCAAAATATCTAGGTACCATACGAAGAGCTCACCCAAAAATTATAAAGAAGACATATAGAGACAACCTTGCGGGGAGTGGGAAAGTGACTGAAGCCGGAGGAGCCAAATCAGGCCAATAATATTGTTGATTCTTTGAATTTTATCAAGGTGGCAACAATATTATAAGCATGAAGGGATGGTAAACTTACAGATACGTAAGCTAGATTCCGGTGAGACAAATTTCTCGCACGTCAGAGTGAACCAACATTCTTAGCAGCTGACATAGCAATGGATTCAAGGAGAAATAGAAAGAATACTAAAAACTATGAATAGAGATGAAGATGCTTCCGAAAACACATTTTGGTCAAATGTCCTGCTTGTAGAACTTATTTTCTTATAGCCAGAATGAAAATAAACAATTATATAATTTGAACTCTCTGAATTTTATAACCATCCAGTGGTTTTCAATGTAATTATCTATATTAAAAATCACTGGTGACTAGTCTCTTTAAGATATCCCATAATTCCGTGTTGTTTTTAGAAATGCTATCGTCTGGGTAGTTTCTATTCTTCCTTAGATTTTCTATTTCAAAAGACAATTCAGGATTGATCCAAGCATACCAGTAATCAGCAATTTCATGTTGACTTTACCACATCCTACATATTTTCAAGCTATTTACTTTTTCGCTGAATTGCCACGTTCACTAACAAATCTATTTAAACAAAGGAAACGCATGAATCCCGAGAAATCATGATTAAAGGATTTGTTTTGATTTCAAAGTCTTATAGATTTTTGAATACCTAATCTCTAAGAAATTTCGATTTATATGCATATGTCATTTGTTTGCATTGACAATTCAAATCGATCCTGACTTGGCATCTCGACTTCAGTCACTTCCTCACGTGGCTTCCCTCTGTCATTTCTACAAATATTTTCATGGCAACAGCTCTGAGGATCTTTTTTATTTGATGCTCCCATTATATGAATTTAAGCGTGCTATTATTGTGGCATCTAGGTCTCCCCTTTACTGTTGA